TTAATGTGTATAAGGTTAGGTTAGTTGAAGATGGGTTATGTTGTCATATTTTGTATTTTTATGTCTGGGATGTGATTACATCGGTCTTCTTTGACATGTCAGTATTACACCATGTTGAATACTAGTATCTGGGAGTGATTGGAGGATGTGTTGTGGGAGAGTGTGGTTTATATGGTTTTTCAGTCAAAAGTGCCAGGTTGCTGTGAGGTTTATACAGCTGGGGATTTCTTACTCTTGGTGCCAGTGATTATGGTTTGTGGTAAGTCAGCCTGGGGGAGTGACTTTGGTAAGGTGTGTTAAGGAGTTATTTAGAAGTTTGTCCAGCCTTAGCTCAAACGATTTGTATACAGCAATGGTAGTTATGTTGGAGTGGATTTCATTGTCTGTAGATGTCGATGGAGTGTCTGGTCAGCCTTGGGGATGGGTTGGTTTACTTCTGTAAAGAATTTAGTTAGGAGTCGGTCCAGCGTCTTTTCTAGTTCACTTTCAATGGCAGTGTGGCAGTGTGTAGGGGCAGTGTGCAGAGGCAGGGGCAGTGTGGCAGTTTCAACAAGATCGGAAATTAGTTGTACGTTATAGTATATAGTCTTTTTGTGGGAGATGATTGGACTCTGGGGGTGCAGGATTGTCAGTGACAGACATATCAGGTACAAGCAAAGGTTGTGGTTCCAGTCACCTCATTGCTCCAATTTCCTCATTGCTCCAGTTTCTCAATACTGAATACATTGTTACCATTTATTATCTTGACACCCATGTACACAGAGGATCTATTCTTACTTTTCCATTAAAAATGAACATCATGATTATTCTGAACTTCTTGGTATTTGTGCCAGTTACAGTCTAAACACCCTCCAAATTAGTTTTCTTTCTCACATAAGTCATCAGGTTGACATACGCAATCACAACTGCCAGTTTTGTCATTTCAAAGTTAAATTTTACAAAGTACTCAAGAGCACCAAGATAAGTCGATTATTGTTTATACCAATTTTCATTCATAAAGGCATATTGTATTTCTTTTGTTTTCTCTTAAATTCTCACTTGTAATCATTAGCCCAATCTACACTTCATTTCAGCTTTATTTTCATTAACAAAGCACATTCATCTTTCCAGCATTAAAAACTTGCCATCTCTCGTTTCATTTATTCCTCATTTATTCTACTCATAATTTTTCAAGGTTTGAGTACGTGCAGGGCTTTGATCTGAAGAAAATTCTATCCTTAGTGGGGAGGACTTACAGGAAGATATGTCACCACCAGCCCAATATATATATGGAGTCACCATCAGCCACCTCTATATTATTTCTAGATTAAGTGTAGAGGAGGGACCAAAGAACTGAAGCTCAACCTCCACAAGCACAACTAGGTGAGAACAGGAGGCAATTTTCATCACATAGTGGTGGGCAATGGGGTGTCAGATCACTACAATACTCTTGTCTGCTACATAGTATATGAATACAGTGAAATTTAATTTAATTTTATAATATATTTTATTCGCAATGGAATACAGAGTTGATAAAAAAGTGCTAAATTGTTTTTACATGTGTTAACACCGACATTGGCTCAGTATGTACTAAACAAAAAAATTTGTACAGTTCTACTGTAGTAGCATTATTACATTGAGGTCATATTTGTTAATTGAACAACAGCAAACTGATAATGCATTAATTTATAAGAAACTCAGAAGAATTTATGAATTTGTAATTGAACTAAAATAAAACCTTTTTGTTGGCATTAAATGATACAAATTTGTCAACCAAACAGTCTAATGACCAGACCACCAAGCAGGAAGCCGTTGATCCTCTGAATTATCATCAGCTAACCAGTTCACTGTAGTATCCATCTCCCAGTGTACCAAAAGTAACCAAAAAGCATACATCTGGAAACAGACCTTAGAGACATTTGGCCACAGCATTTCGTCCATGAAATTTCCTGGCTGGAAAACTAGATGCTTCCCCGTTGTACATGGGAAATGGTTGAAATACAGTAATGTATTTCATCCAGTTCTTAAAATTACTTTGGCAGTCATGAATATTCTGTCCATCTTCCTAATTGTGGGAAAGAATGACTGATTGTAGATCAAGAGAGAAAGAGAATTTAGTTGATGGAAAATATTTGACTAGTTAATGTACATGATGTATGAAATAAATCATGAGGTAAATTCCTTAAGAACTAAAATGATTTGTTTTTTAAAATATGAAGATGATAAAAAATTATATTCAAGTTTCAGGACTATAGAAGTTACATAATATTACTAAAACTAAGTATTCTATCAAATAATTCTGTATATTTCATTAAGTCTAAAGCAATTCCCTTATGATTTGGTGACATTTCTCTACACTGTAATGGCTTAATGAAACAGCAAAACCTAAGAATTGGAAGGAATACCTATACAGTACAATACTGAAGAAACCACTACTATAGAAAACAAATACAATGGTGATTGTTTTTTATATATTTATACAGTAGTCATTTTCCCATTATCCAAACTCTAACAATCAGATTGGCCTAAGTAATCATTTCACTTTTGGAGTAAATAAATTCAGATAGTCTTTAGATCAATTAAACAACTTTTTGGTCAGGTGTTTTAGTCAACTGTGCACACGACCATGGGAGGCTAGTTTCTGTAGATAATTGCCAAGAGGCAAACATGAGCAGACCCTGTAATGATCTAGTGTGGCATGGCCATTTACCCTCAAATCTTAAAATAAAATAAACATTCCTTCAAAATGTCAGCTAACAACAGTGCTAATATTTCGAGAGGCATCGCCAAGCAGCACAAATATTTTAAGAGGAAATATGTTGGGCTGTGTTGATATAGCACAGATTATTAAAAAAGTTAAATAGTATATCTATGATTCAAATCTTTGAATATAGTATAATGTTGACAAGACAACTGGCTGATATTTTGAGGAGTTAGGATAATATCTACATTTGTTGCAAATACGAAATCTAGCAAGATCGTGAGTTTGTAGACAACATTCAGTAAGCATTAACTATGGGAATGGAACAAGCAAAACTGAAATGAAACTAAAGCTCCTGAGCTAGGATGGTTGCTTTTTAAGGCAAATTTAATGAGCAAATGAACATTAGTGATCAGTGTTCACACTGATCACCATTAGAGGCCTAGCTTTGCCCATCAACTTCACTGTGGGGCTGCATGAATGCTTCTGGTGTGCACCCAAGCAGATGTACAGTGATTGCCTAATAATGCCTGTGGTCAGGAAAGAATAAGTTTTTGACAAGGCTCTTTACAATTGATTATAGTACAGTGGCACCTCGACTTATGATTGTCCCGACTTACGATAATTTCAAGTTACGATATAAATCTGATCGGAAAATGCGACTCAACTTACGATAGCGTTGTCGACTAACGATATTTGTTGGTACACGTTCGGGGTCGACCAAGCGCATGGTTCCCAGTTGCCTGGGCCGACCTGCCTCGGTTTACTAGAGCCGCCTGCTTAGTGACGATCACGCTTAAAGAAATTCTATTCTTTTGGTGATTTTTTTGCTTTTTGAACATAAAACTGATTATTATATATCACACCATGGGTCCCAAGAAAGTCAGTGGTAAGGTTCAACATATGAAAACACATGTAAGGATGACCATAGAGCAAAAACAAGAGACCATTCGTAAATATGAAGATGGTGTGCCGGTTGCTGAACTAGTTAGGCAGTACAACAAATCTCAGTCAACGATATCCACCATACTTGCTAAGAAAAAGGACATCATGAGTGGTAAGTGGCAAAAGGCGTATCAATAATCACGAAACATAGAACACAAACACTTGAGGATGTTGAACAGTTATTATTAATTTGGATACACAGCAAGGAGTTAGTGGGTGATAGAGTTTCAGAGGCCATCATTTGTGAAAAAGCAAGGAAATTGCATGAAGACCTTTTAAAGAAAACCCCTGGAACGAGTGATGCAAATATGAAAGAGTTTAAGGAGAGCAAGGGATGGTTTGAGAAATTTAGAAAAAGAAGTGGCATTCATAGTGTTCTGAGTGTTGTGTGTTGCGAGCTGGTGGAGGAACACAGCGAAGAACTGACCACTGAAGAACTTCACAAGGAGCAGCAACAAGAGACGGCTGAGGAAATTTCTTCAGGGGAGGAGGAGACAGTACAGAATGTCCCTTCCTCATTAATTAAGAAAATGTGTGCAGCATGGGAAGAATTGCAAACTTTTGCTGAAACAACTCGCCCAAATCACAGTGCAGTAGGCCGTTGCCTTAACCTTTTTAATGACACTGTGATGCCTCACTACAGACAAAAATTAAAATGTATGGAAAACAAAAATCTATGGAAAGGTTGTTAGTGAGACAAACAAGCAGTGAATCACAACCAGGTCCTAGTGGTATGCAGGCAAAACGTAGGGAAGAGAGTACCCCAGATGTTATAATGGAAGGGGACTCCCCTTCCGAACAGTAACACCCCGCTTTTCCCCTCCTCACCATCTTCCATACGCATCAAGAGGTAAGATAAACATATGTACTGTATTGTAGTTAGAGAAAAAAATTGTATTCAGAATAAAATGTATTTTTAAGTTAATATTTTTGGGGGTGTGGAACAGATTAATCCAATTCCCATTATTTCCTATGGGAAAAATTGCTTCGACTTACTATACGTCTCTGGGAACAGATTACCATCGTAAATCGAGGCCCCACTGTATGGTAAACTAGTAATTTTCAAAGGTTTTGTTGTATTTTGTCAAAGTTAGGAAATATACTTGACTCGCCTCCACTTCATCGAGTCCATCCCAAGTGTTCATTACTCGCAACATTATGTAAGCAAAGAACACAATCTCGTAAGTTTTTTATAGTCAGCCATTAAAGTGGGAAATGGGTCGGTCATCGTCATCGTCATAATGATGACAATGACTATAAAATGCAGAAATATTGAAGTCAATGAGAACTTATTTAGAGCAGGTTTTTGACAAAGACAGCACAACAGGCTTCTTAATTAAACACAGCAGCGCAAATTAAATCATGAGGCCACCTCTTTTTCAGAAACCCCTCTATGGGAATTATGAATAAACAGACATACATTTCCATAATATGAAAGCTAACTATATCTTCAGAGAGCTATACCCTGGAGTCATGTAATGAATCTGATTTAAATTGAAATTATGTTTAAAATTTAGACTTAGAGTTTAAGGAAAAGGATCTCTTACAATGGAATGAGATGAAATTAAATGATATAACATCATTAGTCATAGGAATGCAATTATTTATTATATGAGCTGACGCCCACTTCTTCCCTGTCGTGTCCACAGCTGATGTGGACACCAGGCACTTATGGTTCATGTGCCTCTTCATGCTAACACATCACTTGTAAATTATCATCAGTACCATTTAATTCTCAGTGATAAGTCACTTACAGGTTATTTTATTAATTTGCCACAAATTGATATAAAAACAATTAAATGCTAATGAGCTATGTGTGTGGTCCAAAATGTAATTAATAATGTGAATGTTATTAATTTTAACAGATAAGTGATTGAAACCATTTTTAATAAAAATAAAAATTACATTTACCTGGTAACATTTCTATAAAAAACGTAAAAAAGAGTATAAAATATTATTATTATTATTTACAAAAATATACATTTTTTAATATGGAAGACTGCTATACACCTATATTATTGAAACTTGGTCCATATCTTACTGTTATTAATTGATTATTATTTTAATACATCAATACAGCTTATTCAATATTAGATTTGTAGGCAGTATTTAATTTTTCCACTAAATACAGTACTGATGCTTGAGCAGGAGCTGAATGCTAATTATTTTGTAATAAAATTCACAACTGAAACATATAATTTTATATTTCTAATTGCTTTAAATAAAATAAAAGTGGAATCATACAAGATTAGATTTTTGGAGTTACACCAGGAGGCTCAAGGTTAAGTCTATATCTCAAGGTCTATATTGCTTCTATACTTATCACAATCACTTACTGAAAAAGATGTGTTCGTGTAAAACTTTTGGATTGCCAATAGCATGAATTTCAAATGAAATCTTGAGATGCTAATTTTATTAGAATTCATAAAAGCTGATATTTCACCAGCAAAAAGAATTTGTTAAAAGGCAATGTGTCTCCTACTGTCTCATATTGGAGTTGTGAACTGGGGGTATGTCTTGATATCCTTGACTTTCTGGCTTTTATAAGCTTTGTCTTACAACTTTTGCTTCCCACGGGTCATACAGCTCATACTTAGACAATGGAAGCCCATCCTTTCCTGTTTTTTTAAGTACAGAATCCACTTCAGCAATAGCTTTATAAACAATATCTTTTAGTTCCCTTGTAAACGGGTTAAAGTCTAATGGCACATTTTTAGATGGCTTTCTTTTAAATAAGCCATCAGTATTTGAGCCCACACAATAAAGTCTGTTATTATCTATAGGTAGTTTCAAGTAATGCATTATCTTCTCCATTTCCTCAACGGGATTTTCTTTCAAGTGTTCATAGTAAGTGACATGTATGTTTACTGGCTGGCATAGAGATAGCCAGTCTACATAAAAATCCTTCCACAGTCCAATCTTCAGCATCACAAATTCAGCCCAACCTGTTGAAAAAGGGACGTCAATAAAGTTCAAGCCAATTACAGGGTAGTGTATAGTTCATGTAATATGAATATGGCAAAAATCTTTTAAACATTGAACAAGATGGATGGAAAGACACCCAACACCTGGTCGAGGACTGGGCCACGGGGACGCTACGCCTCGAAATGATCTCAAGGTAACCTCAACTGAAGGTAACCCCACATATGTTAAACTAAAGTTACTTCCTATAATTCAAATGTGTGGGTTGGGTGCTTAATTTTCAGCCACATTATTGTGACTTCATGTCTATAAATATGATGTAGAGAGGTGCTATGCAAGATAGTATCATGGAATGAAAGCCTTAAATAAAAGAGAGTTTCAGTGGAAGAGATAATGAACTCACTTCAGGGTGCATAATAATTACCTCACTTGACAGTCCCAAGGGACGATGTCACTTGACAGTCCCAAGGGACGGTGTCACTTGACAGTCCCAAGGGACGGTGTCACTTGACAGTCCCAAGGGACGGTGTCACTTGACAGTCCCAAGGGACGGTGTCACTTGACAGTCCCAAGGGACGGTGTCACTTGACAGTCCCAAGGGACGGTGTCACTTGACAGTCCCAAGGGACGGTGTCACTTGACTGTCCCAAGGGACGGTGTCACTTGACAGTCCCCAGGGACGGTGTCACTTGACAGTCCCCAGGGACGGTGTCACTTGACTGTCCCCAGGGACGGTGTCACTTGACTGTCCCAAGGGACGGTGTCACTTGACTGTCCCAAGGGACGGTGTCACTTGACTGTCCCAAGGGACGGTGTCACTTGACTGTCCCAAGGGACGGTGTCACTTGACTGTCCCAAGGGACGGTGTCACTTGACTGTCCCAAGGGACGGTGTCACTTGACATCAAGTGTCAGGTGAATATGGTTATTGAAGCCAATTACAGGGTAGTGTATAGTTCATGTAATATGAATATGGTAAAAATATTTTAATTACTTGCGGGACTGTATGTGAGACCTTTATAATACCTCACTTGACAGTGTATTATAATACCTCACTTGACAGTGTATTATAATACCTCACTTGACAGTGTATTATAATACCTCACTTGACAGTGTATTATGAAGAGATCTTGCTATGTAGAAGGTGGTGGTTACTTCTATTCACTATATACAAGTACAGAGGATACTTATAAACTGCTTTGTGCTAAGACAAAAGGAGGTACATCTTAGGAACTTTAAACTTAGTGTACATAACATATATTCTATTGCTTAACCTTGAAGAGTAATGAAACAAAATAAGCATATAGGATAATCTATGAATCAAAATAAAACATCACTCAACATATTTGAGGAAATTGTCATAAATATATATGTTATTGTACTTAACGACAAACATACGCTTCCCTCCACAATCATTCATTCACTGACTTGGAGTCGACAACAAATAGGGAAGCATGGGCTTGCTGGTAAGTGCAGATACAGCACTAAATTTATAAGCATAAAACATAGGACAAAAAGATGAGGGAACTATCAGAGGAAAGTGCCAAGCCATTATGACTATACAGCACTTGGAAGGGGTCAGGATAAGGATTTGGGATGGAACGGGGGGAAAGGAATGGTGCCCAACCACTTGGACAGTCGGAGATTAAACTTCGACCTGCATGAAGCAAGACCGTCGCTTCATGCAGGTTGCTTTTTTTTTTTTTGTGCTTAAGATTGTGATGCTCAAAATTTGAAGACAGATAACACCATTTAATTTGAAGCTGTGCCTCACAGAATATAGAGCAAATAATTCCCATTGTCAGGACCATGAAGCCTGTACAGTACTTACTTAGGCTCACCAAGGTCTGGTCACACTGCTGGTATAGCCACACAAGGCAAAATAGAGAACAGGACTTGAGACCAGAAGTGACTGAGCTGACTCCAGCACATCAGTTCAAGAACTGAAGTGGTGGGCTGCCGGCTCCCACACCTTTCCCTACTTCCACCGCAACGAGCAAGAGTGCTAGTTGCATGAAGTGTTGCTTGTTGGGTTTCTTTCTAAAGGAGTTATTTTGACCTTTTATGATGTAGATTGCACAAGTTAACCAGACAGTGATCTGTTTTGATTCACCTATCTTTCTTCCTTCCCTGGCTGATGGAAGGAAGGCATAGTGACATAATTGTGACAATTATGACATACTTTAAATGTAAAGTGCTCATAAACCATTCCTCCTTGCACCTCTCTGAAGGGAAGGGGGGGAGGGGGCAGGTTCTGGCTCATGGTCCCTGGGAGGCACAAGGACTTCTGTGACTGATGACCCCAAACTAATACAGTACTGTATAGCACACATCAGTTTGGATAGCTTCAGGGAGCCAAAGTGGCTCCCCACAGAAAACCCTTAATTCATAGAAAGCAAAACCAACCACATACACTTTGTGAATATTAATATATACAGTATGTAGTTACTTTTCTTGTCATATTGACACAAAAAATAAATTTGTCCTCATTCAAATGTCCATGTTTATACGCAATTCTCTGTACAGAGGTACTGTATAGTAACAAACCTTTGCCCAAAAAATGTGCTTTTGGGGCATAGCCAGTGTGGCCACCGACATCCAAGTGACGGTGCGAGATGAGAGCTTTGAAAGGATTCCGGATAACCAACACACCTTGGTGATTCAGTTCATCCATGTGATTTCTTTTTAACTGCAACATATAAAATCTGAATGAAGCAAGCAATACGGTAGGACTTAAATTAGACAAAAATTAAGATAATTTTCAATTGGTTTACAAATTTAAAAGTTTGGTAATCTAAAAATGCAGCTACAACTGAGGTAGACCTACAACTGTGGTTGCAATTATGACAGTGAACTGAAACTATGAATGTGACTGCAGCTATGCTACAACTGTGGTTACAGCCATATCTGTCACTGCACTATTAATGTGCCTGCAACTATGACTGTAGCTGCACTACAACTGGTTGCATTATAATTGTGGCTACAACTACTGTATAATTAAAATTATGACAACTGGCAGCTACTAGAACTATATCTGAAATAACTGTGGCTCCAGATACAAATACTGTATAGCTTAACTATGGCTGCAGTTAAAATAATAGCTATGCATTAACTGTGGCTTTAGCTGCAGCTAATACAGATGCAAATGCAGCAGAGAATGCTCAGAAGAGTATACAGAGTAGCAAAGAAAGCACTACAGAGACCAGGTTATACACAATTCTTGTTACAAAAATATACAGCATATATACTGTATATTTCTCTTCCTTGTGAACTTAACCCCCTCCCCAAATGTACTGAAGATGAATCTGTATGTTAAACCATGATTTACAAATTTGTAAATCACACTTACCCTCTCTCTATGTGAAGCCTTCATGGCATCACCCGTCGTGTAGCCATGGCTCTTCTGCAGAATGGTCATGCCCGAGTCGTATATAACACCTTCACCATACATGCCTGATGCACAAGGAATAACACAAGATTATTGCATGCATATCAGAAATAGAAATGCAAGTTAGTGAAAATAATCAAGAATTTATATAATGACACTTAAATAGACATGTGAACAGGTATGGTATGTAGACTGATATACAGTAGAGCTACACAGGGTTCACACCAGCTTCCTCAGGGCTCTTATAAACAGACGCCATTTAAAAAAAAATCATGGGCAACATTCCTGGGTGTGGAAGCATCAGTACTACCTGAGCAACCAAGGCTGGTGCATACAGCATGAGATAACAGCATTGCTATTCAGTTTGTGACCTCAGCATTGCCTAAAAATGTAAAAAATATATGTATATGTTGGCGAGTGAGGTGTTGTTGAGGGAGAGAGTGGCTAGCTGGCTGGTGTGCTGGCCACTCCTCATTGCTTTTCGACTCAACATACCAACTTAGTGGTTCATTATGGTGAACAAAACATGCAGATACATATATATATATAACCTGTGTGTATAAAGTGTAATAACAGCAAAACTATTTGTTTATTGTTTTATGAACATCATAATAGAATGACTAATATGCACACCATAATTTGAGTATAGCAATGGGTCACACATTTTATTATATAAATATATCACTCTATTGAATAATATTACTGGAAAAAAAATAAGAGACATTGGAATAATTAGGTAATAATATCTCTGTGGCAAGTCCCACCTGACAGCTTGGGTGGAGCAGACCACCTCCAACACATGCTCTATCAGCGCCTCTTTTTTACCAGATTGCCTCGCCATATTGCAGCCCAAATATGCCACCTATGATTTTTGTATTATTTTTCCCGTGATCAGGGAACACAAATGAACACTTTCATATGATGATTTTTTTTATTATTTCTTGCACCTGGGCGTGTTGCAGGCTGCAGGAGCAGCCAAAGGTTAAAATGCATTACAGTAAAGTGATGTAAGGAAAGAAGGGGCCTTTTTAAATGCCTTTTCTGTTAATAACTGTCCCGAGTACTTTTGAAAATACAACCTAGGCAGCAGCTAACCTCACATACGTGGAAGGCATATTCATTCTGTATGAGAGGTTCCCTTCTAAATGTATGAAAACATTGTTCCAGTTTATAATATGTACTGTGTAAACACTCCCAAGCACATTTTGTGATTGAAAACAATATTAAAATATGAGTGCTAAATGGAGAAACCCAGACCAAAGCCCTATGCTCTTCTGTAAGGGTGTATTATAAAAATAATTTACACCTCTGAAACATTGGAACCAGTTGGTGGGAAAGATAAGTGGAAGGAATAACTCAGCCATTGTGTGTTGGGGTGGTGTGTCAATTGTATTTTCTCTTTTTTTACTCCCAGTACCTCCACCACCTCACTTGTAGAGTTAAGGAGCTCCAAGCATACAAAGTCCTCTCATATACTAACCTACTCCTCCATGCAACACCACTTGAGCCAAAAACTAAAGTAGTAAGAGATGAGGTAGTAATGGGAAAAACTACTAGCGTGCCAACCAAAAATAGGCATTTCATTACACTCAATACTCTATTTCTTACCAAATTCTTTCAGTATCGCCCCCTCAGCATGTTCACCACAGTTCCATGAAGGCAACACTTGTCATTTGAGAACAAGATTTAAAAGGACAGGTGAAAATTGACAAATAACACTTGCCAGGCAGGTCTACACGGCACAAAGCCTATCATTATGTCTGAAGGTCTGGGGAAAGAAAAGCTGCAAACCAATCAACATGGGAAGTTCATGGCCCTGTCAGGGACAATACTGAATTGATTGGACTATGTTGCAAAAAAAAAAACAGAAAACATCAAGGTAGAAAACTTTTCCATGAGAACATGGTAAATTGACTGAAGAACCTAAGCAAGGAGACAGGATCCAGATGGAACCCAAAAAAATCATAATGGCCAACCACCCCCAGACACATGAGGTAATCCACACTAGAACACTCAAAAAACAGGTACAGTAGGTAAGCGATATGCAAATCCTTATTCTAACACCAACAGCCAATGCACAAAAACTCCCATGTAAATGGGGACAGGCTGCCAGGTAAGGCTGTCTTCCCCACAACTGTTGGGAAGGCCACAACTTCATTTCCCAGCCACCAAGCAAGGTGATAGAGCGCTAGTGGTAAGGGTCCCTGTAGTATAGTCAGGTTCGTTCTCGACGCACAATTGAGAACTCCAGGTTGGACAGAAATGGTTGGGCACATTTCCTTTCACCTAATGGTCCTGTTCAGCTAGCAGTGAGTAGGTACTCAGGAGTTAGTCACCTTGTTGTGGTGTTGCATTCTGGGCGGGGTCAATAATTCAGCCTTGGAGGGGGGGGGGCTTGATAAAAGCCAAATGTGTATGAATACACTCAGGCTTACACTCAAGCAGGCTTCCTGTCCCTTGACACAATGAATTATTATTATGAATTATAAAAGAAAAAGTATCCTAACCAAAAAACAGAAGGGTGCCACCCACCCAAAAAATAGACCTGAGAATATGTCATTAGGCCCTGCAAGAAAAATTAAGTATCCTTCAACACACCGTGTAGGCTGGTGTAAATAGTAGCCTACTTGGGGCATCTAGTATTTCTGGGTGCAATGTGATGGTGGTATGAAAGGTAGTTTATGCATAGTTAACTCTACTCAGAGATTTGTTTGGATAGTGTTGTAACTGCCAAAAACATTCTTTGAAGGGAGGCTGAGTGTTGTGAATTCTCACTGAAGCTCTAATGAGTGGTTCACCTCAGTACTGGTTGATCTCTGATATCCACATGATACCCACTCCAATGAGGAGCCCAGAGAAGCTGCTACTGACATAGTAAATGACATAATATTCTTTGTTTGAATTTAATTTACTATCTTTTACATTAACAACTCAATGTAAATAGGTATACTGTACTGTATCAGTAAAATCAGTCCAAAATATCTCTAATCAAAATGGAAAACAACAAGTCATCATACCTTTCCTAGTAAGAGAACTGTCATCGTATAGTGATCCTGTGAAGATTCCAGTCGCTCCTTCAACAAGATACCTGAATAATAAAAAAGCAACAAAATATTAATAAATTTTAATAAATCTTGATGTTTAAACTGAAAATATGTAAGTACTCTTCTTCACATATTGTATTAGAAAAAGGAAAAAAAATCCAGCTTGTATTTCAAATAACTAGTTGTTAATATAAAATCCTTAATTATTTCCGTTAATAAAACTATTACTTAGCATGAACAAGTGTCAAGGTGTGCGTTCTGAACTTTCATAATTTAGAAAATTCCAAATTGTAACATTCTTAGTTACGTTGTAACTCTTGGTCACCTCCAGCAGCATGAAGGTAATGAATTAAAAAAGATCCATTGCCTTGGCTGAACTTCTAGAAACTTTACATATCATTTACAAAGCCAGTGTCTTTGACGTGCCATCAGTCTCCTTTCCCTGTTGAGGCACTACACATGGTCGCCCTCAAGTAAAATTGGATAATTATAGTATGAATATTAATATGACTGAATGAAGGATAATTATTATTATTAATTAACTTTTACTTTATTATTCACCTTTTCTGGGGGGAGCCCCGTCGGCTCCCCTGAGCTTTACCAGGCTGATATGCTAATGTCAGACTTTGGCATCAGTCATGTGTATGGAGTTCTAGGGCCTACCGGGGACCACGGCCAGAACCTGGCCCCCCTCAGAGAGGCAAGGGGAGCAATGGCCTATAGAAATCCCCGTGTGGTAGGAAGCATTCTATGTCTGCCATCGACTGGGTCAAGCATCCAGAAAGGTAAGCATTCCAAAACAAACCCCTATTCTGGTGAAAATTGCTACCTAAAGCCGAACTAGTGGATAAAACTCTTCAACAGAAAACAAGGAAACTAGTATGATGTCATACGTCACCGCGCCGCTGTCTGCGCAGCTCCCCCCTCCCCGGGAGGGGGAAGGGGGAGCCCCAGACCTCCCACGCTGGCTATCCACCCATCAGTTCTTCGGCTGATGCTATAGGCACCGGTTATGTGCTCCGGCTCCAGTGGTTGTTTCAGCACTGTACCTAGAGTGTGGTGTCTGTTTTCTAGGTGGTGCGTGAGCCGGGAGTGATTCTCCAGTACTCGGGCTGCATGCGCCTAGGGTTCCCTTCCTTAGGTGCCCTGTAAGTACTGCCCTTGGGGCTTGGGGCTGCCTTCCACAAATTTCTTGGGTCCAACCCTGGCTTGGCCATTTACTGCTTGGTTTTCGGCCGCTCTTTGTGTGCTCGGGTGTTCTGTCACCCTTGTTCGCCTTAGAGTAAGGGGCAGTTTTTGCACTGGTGGGGCGCAGGGTACTGTGCAGCTTGTCTTTACCAATCATACCGGCCGGCTCTGTTCCGCCTGGGTACGCTGTCCTCTTGCAGGGTGTTCTTTTTCTTTTTGTTTACCTACCTGGTGGGGGGGTCTGCCTTCATTTTTGCCCCTTGTGTCCCTTGTGTTCTGAGTATTTTCTGGTGGTACCCCCTGCTAGGTCCCCGTGAGTGTACACGTCCCAGGGGTTCAGCTCTTAGAAAGTTGTTTGGTAGCTTTGGGTACCAGTTAGCAGTACCCTGCCTGGGATTACCTGAGCGCAAGTCCTCTTATAGTAAATGCTCGGGACCCTGGGAAACCCCTGGGGGCACGCGGGTCCGATGGATGTGACCCCAGAGTCCCCCCCTCGCTTCCAGCGAGTTTGAGGGTTGCTCTCACCCTTTGTCTCTGGGTGACTCTGTTTTGCCTCCGTCTGCTGCCTGTGGGATCGGTGACACCTTCGACCCGGAGTCCTGTGAGTTTGGTTGCTCGTTGTGGCTCGGTTACCCAGTTGTGCTGACTAAGCGGGTGCGGGCAGCAGGGGCGTTGCACTTGAGCCTTGGTGGTGGCAACGTTCTCGTGGTTTCCTCCCCGGGAGCCCCGGGGCTGCCCCGTTTTAGTTCGTTTTGGGACTTGGGGGTGTTGGTTGCTTCAGTTCCATCCACGCCCCCTTGTCTTTCCCCTGGATCACCCTTCCTGCCTGCATCCGGTTCCTTACCGTCTGTAGGTTCGGGGCGGGGTTTTTTATGGTGTTGAGACTCGGGCAGTCTCGGGGAATTCCCCTTCCGGGGTAGTGACGGGGGCATTTGAGCCTGTTCCTCCAGCCGTGTTGTATGAGTCTGCCAGTGGGCTCCCTTCCTTAGTGTTTTCACGGTTGCCCCGGTTTTCTGGTATGGACGGGGCTTTGGGGGAACGGCTCGGCCCCGGGGCCTGTCGTGTAGGTTCCCGGGGCTGGGGAGGGGCTGACTTGGGGGGCCTTGACCCCGTTGGACCCTGTGGGGTTTTTTATCCCCCTCTAGGCAAGGCTTGTGGTTACGTGGAGTGGGGTCTTTCCTCCCCACTCGCCGTACGTGCTGTTGGGCGTCGGCCCCTCCCCGGGCTCGGTTCCTTGGCCTTAGAGTCGGTTGGTTCCATCCTGTGGGTGGATGTTTCCTCCCACCCTTTTTTGGGACGGTGTTTTCGTCATGTTTCCCCGTTTGATGGGGTTCTACGTGACTTCTGATCTCGGGTGCGCCTGCGCCTTTGTGCGCCTTCGGGACTAGTGTTGGCTTCTGTGTTCTCGAGGGTTCGGGGAGGTTTTTCGCTACTTCCCGCATTATTGGAACGTCTGTCGGCTCCTCGTCCTTGTCGCCGTTTTGGGCTACTTGTGGGCCGGTTGGGCTACTTGTGGGCCGGTTGGGCTACTTGTGGGCCGGTTGGGCTACTTGTGGGCCGGTTGGGCTACTTGTGGGCCGGTTGGGCTACTTGTGGGCCGGTTGGGCTACTTGTGGGCCGGTTGGGCTACTTGTGGGCCGGTTGGGCTACTTGTGGGCCGGTTGGGCTACTTGTGGGCCGGTTGGGCTACTTGTCGCCCGGTTGGGTTCCTTTTTGGGCTCTCTTTGCTTCTTTGGCCGGTTTTATTGTTCCTGCTTCCTCTTTTGGCTACTTTTCTAGTGCAGTAGTCCTGGTTGGCGCCTTCCCGCAGAGAGGGTTGTGCGGTTCGGCCAGCGTGTCATGCGCATGCGCCGTGGAGTTTGTTTTGGTCTGGGCGGTGTTTCAGTGCTAGTGTTTTGCGCCCTTTTTTGCTACAGTGCTTCGCCTCTCATTCTACTCCCTGGCTGCGGTATGTGCCCCTTCGCTCCGGGGGTGTCCTGGTTCCCAGTTGTGGGGAGGACGCCGCGGTTTTCCCTGTGTCATGGGTGTGGGCCGCCTCCTTCGCCTCTCCCTGCTCTCCTGCGGGTCCGGCAGGGTCCGGCTCTGGCGTCTTCACCTGGCGGTGCTACCAGGTTCTTCTGGGCACGGTTGAGTCGTGTCAAGTTCGTGCCACCGTTCGCCAGGTGAGTTTCTGCGGTCTGGCGTCTTTTGGCCGGGCGCTGGATGCGGTGTTTTTTATATACCTGTCTTTATTTAGGTATATTTTTGTACGACTGAGACCGTTCGCACACCAGTGACTCCCTTTTTCAACCCTTCCTGTCCCCCTCATGTGCATGTCCAACCCATGCTAGAGTCATTCAGGGGACCCACCTTTTTTCATGTTGTGAGGTGTGGGGGTTGTAGGGTTGGTTCTGTACTCAACTGGTAAGGCTCCTGGCTGTGCTTGCAGGGTTTGAGCTCTGGCTCTTGGGTCCCGCCTATCTGGTAGAACTTGCGGGATAGTACCAGTGGAGTGCAATGGTGCTATAGGCAATATTGGGGAACACTGTATTACCATCAGAGGTCTGTGGTTGTTACACGACCTACTTGCGAGCATAAGCCTTCTTGCTGGTTTGTCTGTGGACTTCCAGGGCACACTAGCCTGTTTTCGTATAGCAGTTCCGGCCCATCCTGGTTGTGGGGGTTTGTGGGCCGGCGGGCCGCTCCTAGCAGCTGCCTGGTGGGCCATCCTCTGGCCGGTCTAGCCTGCCCTTGGGCCGGGCTTGGGGTGTAAAAGAATTCCCAGTACAGTACCCCATCCAGCAGGTATCGAGCGGGGTTTCTCCGCCGTTGGTCGCCTGGTGCAGGTTTCTGGGACTGTTGGGTTTTGTTGTGTCTCCGTTGGCCCTGTCTGGGGTCTGCCTGCTCCGTTCTCTGCCTTTGCAGAAGGGAGTTGCTATTTCCATGTTGCATGTTGCGGTGGTGCCTGTTGCTGCTGCTGCGCGTGTGCATTGGTACCGTGTTTCACGGTGGCGTGTCCTTGTTCCTGTGTCCGGTTGTGGTGTGGCACTTTGCTACTGTTTTGTGCTTGGGGATTGTGTGGGTGTTTTCTGTCCCTCCCTGATTGTCCACCCCTGGTTGTTTTCCTTTTTTTTTTTGTGCTTCTGCTCTTTCTTCCTGCCTCCTCTGCAGCAGGGGTGTTCTGCGTGTGTTCTTGGGCATTTTTCAGCCTGTGTCCTGTGTTGTGCTTCTTTGTCTTGGTCTATTGCAGTTGTTCGTACCCCTTGGTTCGGGTACTGTTCTGGCGGCGACCCTTCTGCCTTCTTTGGTTTCCTAGCTTGCCCTGCCGGTTGTTTTTTTTTGGGGGGGGGGGTCTTGCGATGTCTCGCGTCGGACCCGTCGTTTCTGAAATCCTGGCGGGCTTGCATGCTTTGGGGAGTTTTTTCTGTTCGGCAGATGTTCCATCTCCTTGTGCCGCCTGGGTTTTGGTGGTCGTGCCCGAGATCTTCCCGCGGCTCCGCCTTTTCCTGGGCTTGGAGGGGCCTTGTCGGGGCTGCTATGTTCTGCCTCGCGGTCTCGCCTCCGGTTGGTGGTCGGGTGGCTTCGTGGTAGGTGTCCCACCTGCGTGCTTCTCTTGGCGACAGTATGGGGTATTTTGGCGGCCCTTCCTTTTCCTGTCCCTTCTTAGGTGGTTACTCTTGTTAGCTTGGTTTACTCTCGGCTTGGTTTTCTGGTGGGGGTTGGGGGCCGTCGTCTTGCCACATACTGTCGCCTCTTTTCGTGCGACGCTGGCGGAGCCGCTTCAGCTTGCTTTCGGTTTTGGTGTTGCTTCTGCACCGTTAGAAAGCTGTCTCGTGCGTCGTTTCACCTCCGGCCTGTTCGTGCGCCGCTTGCACCATCCTGGTCTCTGGTCAGCGTGCTCTGTCTTCTCCTCGGTTGGTAGTGCCCCTTCGGTTCCGGTGTGTTTTTTCGTCGGCTCTTTCCTTTTGGACTTTCCCTCTGGGAGTCGAGTCGCCGAGTTTTCTTGCTCCTTCGGTTTTAGCGTTTTAGTTGTTCGGTGGCAGCAGTCTCCATTTTTTCTGGCGCGGGGTGGGGCTGCTGCATTCTGGAGGGGGTCCAGGGTTTGTTGGTGCATCGTTGGTCGGGCCGGGGGTGTGTCGTGTATTGTGTTCAGTGGCGGCCCTCCGCTGTTGTTTGCGTGCCACGGTGTTTGGGTCCGGAGTGCGTTTTGCGTTGATCTGGTTCTGTTCTTCCCGGTTCGTGGGTGATGGTGTCCCGGGTGGTCAGCAGTGTTCTTGCGGCTAAGCTGCCTGTGTTCTTCCCTCATGCCTGTGGCATTTGTGGCTTCGCTGCTCTCGCTGCCGTCTGGGCGTTGTGGCCTTGCTGTCTTTCGGGCATGGATTTTTGGTGTTCGTGCGGGGGCCTTGCTGCTCGTTGTTCACGTGTTGTTCCTGGGATTTTTCGGGGCTGTGGCACCTTGGGTTGGCGTTTGCTGCCGGTTGTCTCGCTTCCGTGGGGGGTGCATGGTGTCCGCCTCCCGGTTCTGTCCCTTTGACCTTCCTCTGTGGGTAGTTAGCTCTGGGGAGCCGACGGGGCTTCCCCCAGAAAACCAGCATTGAATGTAATGAAACGCCATTTTCTGGGTGATACCCGGAGGCTCCCCGGCAACCCTCCCTCCCTCCGGTCGGCGGTTTTTCACGTGTTTTGACATCCAGCCTCAGAACTGATGGGTGGATAGCCAGCGTGGGAGGTCTGGGGCTCCCCCTTCCCCCTCCCGGGGAGGGGGGAGCTGCGCAGACAGCGGCGCGGTGACGTATGACGTCATACTAGTTTCCTTGTTTTCTGTTGAAGAGTTCTATCCACTAGTTCGGCTTTAGGTAGCAATTTTCACCAGAATAGGGGTTTGTTTTGGAATGCTTACCTTTCTGGATGCTTGACCCGGTCGATGGCAGATACAGAATGCTTCCTACCACACGGGGGTTTCTATAGGCCATTGCTCCCCTTGCCTCTCTGAGGGGGCCAGGTTCTGGCCGTGGTCCCCGGTAGGCCCTAGAACTCCATACACATGACTGATGCCAAAGTCTGACATTAGCATATCAGCCTGGTAAAGCTCCGGGAAGCCTCCGGGTCTCACCCAGAAAATGGCGTTTCATTACATTCAACGCTGGTTTTTTGACAATGTTTATGTCTTTCTACCCTACTGTTCATTCACCTGTTTTGTTGTAGGTGTCAGAGTGGGTTGAACTGTGCATTATAGTAAATTAAACTAAATTGATTAGATCAGATCTTTATATTATGCAAAGGCCAACAACTTGTCAATCTTTATTTACCCTGTACCCTCTAATATTTCATCACATATTTCTGAATACAAATACTTCCAAAATTGTGTACTGTGCAGTATCTTAAGTCCTCAGATTTCTAAAATCTTCCCTTCAAGCCACACCATATTCTTAATCCTTCTTTCAATCACCAACTCATTTTAAACCACTGAGCATTCTTTATTTACATTTCTTTGTCATTCTTTCTGTGATAATAATAATTACTGTACAGGTACTTATAATATCGGTATGCTCTCTTGTTCTTAGAGACAGGAAGCTTATTAGGCTAATCAAGGTAGCCGTAGCCAACACATGTCCATTCATCCTAGGATGTAACCAACAAAATTTGACAAACTTCCGGGTACCAACACCTGTATCAACTGCTAGGTGAACAGTTATCAGATGTAGGGAAACATGCCAAAATGATTCAACCTACTAGGAAATCAAACCTAAAATCCCAAGACCAACTGGTTATGAGCCAACAGAACTAACTACTGGTCGAGACCTTACCTTTACCTACCCTCCTAAACTTCACTGTGAAAGGCTACCAACCTGCTGAAGCTAATATCTCTTGGGTTTATAAGTATGTTATGCTCTCCTTCCACCTTAAATAGAGGAAGATTCTTTATATTTTATTTTTTATTTATATATACAAGAATTCTTACATTCTTGTAATGCTAATAGTACACATAGCATTTCGGGCAAGTCCTTAATCTTAATTTTTCCCAGAATACAACTGCCAAATCGTTTAACAACCAGGTACCAATTCACTGCTGGGTGAACAGAGGCTACAGTTAAAGATTGGCGCCCAGTCAATCCTCCCCAGCCAGGATACGAACCCATGCCAAATCGCTCGCGAAGCCCCAGGCGAGTGTTTTACCACTGTGCCATGGGGACTGCAGGATATAAAAGGTTGGATCCAGTGAACTAAATGGCAAAAACTCTTAATCAAAGCACTGCCAGTTTTTTTTGCTTTCCAAACCAGCACCTGTGAGACAATGGTCAGGAAATCAGTGATACAAAGTTACCTCAAATCCTATCCCAGCTAAGAAAACAGAAGTCTTAAATGGGAAAAAGAGTATCTCCAGCCTTAAAAAATTATTAACTTACCTAAACAATCGACCCCTATTTGCCAAATCATTACGAGATACAATCACGATGTATGCCGGGAGGTTCTAGTTAGTGCAGCTGGTGTCAAGTTAGGTACAGCCATTTGAGGGTAAGTGGGGTTATGAATGGCTGTTAAGTGTCCGGAGTTCTCATTGGCAGTCATGCATATGACAACACTGGGAAGCTACAATACTGTGCTTGTGAACTTACCTGAGAGCCTTTGTTCATTTTGAGTGGATAACTTTGACTCTAGTGCTTATATGGTCTTGCAGGGTTGCTACATTCCCTATGACACCAGTCTTTATGTCAAATGTTCCCGACTATTATTACATGCCTTCCAGGTGCTCTGGAACTTGTGCCTATTGGAACAGCACAATAATGAGCTCAGAAATAATCATTTACATTACTGTAAGTAGAACCTCAAATCCTGTCAAGCAGGAACTTTTCAATTGGTTGGATACATAAGATACTGTATCTGATCTTAACTGGATTCAGTTGCATTCAGTTTTCCACTGAAGCAGAAAACCGTAACAAATTGGAAATTTAAACTTACACTTGACAGCACAATGAAGTCACAATATGTAGCATGATATATCCACCAGAAAATCTTTTGGAGCAATGCAGTGAAAATGAACTCTCGTCCCAGGTCACCCCAGATTCTCATTTACATGTTTGCAAGAGCAAAATCTAGTATAGTAGTACTACATGCATTATTGTAATAAGGAATGACTGCCACTGAGGATCATAAACCAAAAACATTTAATAGGTATGTTATATAAAGTAGCATACAAGCAATGCAGTTCTTTATATAAATAAATATACTGTACCTGTATTACAGAAATATTAAACTATAAAAGAACAAAAAATATAAAAATAACTAAATTAAGACAAAGTTATAATTTTAACTTGAGTTGAGCAATGTTTACCTGACCCATGTGTTGCCAGAGGAGGGGAATGAAGCAAGTGCTCGTGTGGGAAGAGATCTTGGTGGCCAGAAGATTGTACTGTAGTTGGCACACTCCACACTTTTAGCCCATGGGTAATGCGTCCTGGTAAAAACAGTAAAAAGTAGTAAAAGTTTTGTCGTACAGTATTCTTAATTTATGCAAGATGCAGCCACTTGATGCAAATAATTAGCATTATTTTGCTCTTCTACCCAGATAAAATTTCAGGAGAAGTGCATTAAAGATTGAACTACATTCATGAAGCAACATTTGACTATATATACAGTCGACCCTTATATAACACTGTACAGTAGTTATGTTCCTGGAATATGACATACAGTGGTACCTCGGAACACGAGTGTCCCTGTATGCGAGTTTTTCGGAATACGAGCAGGATTTCTTCGGAAAATGTGTCTTGGAAGGCGAGGGTTACCTCGGAACACGAGTTTGTTGATACATGTACAGGCCGACTAGCGCCTTTTCCAGTGACTATCCCACCTGAATTCTTCACAAGGATTTACAGTTTTTTGTCGTTTTTTGGCCATTTGAGCATAAAAGTTGTCATTATATATCTCGCCATGGGTCTCAAGAAAGCCATTGGTAAGGTTCAACCTAAGAAAATAGCTGTGAGTAGAGGCAGTAGAAGATGTCTCTTCTTGATTAAGAAAATGTGTGAAGTATGGGAAGAACTGCAAAGTTTTGTTGAAGAAACTCACCCAGATAAAGCTGTAGCAGGGCCGTTGCATTGACCTTTTAAATGACAATGTGATGTCTTACTACAGACAAGTGTTAAAATGTAGGGAAAAACAAGTGTCTTTAGACAGATTCTTAGTAAAACAAGCAAGTCCTAGTGGTATGCAGGCAAAATGTGCCAGAATGTGCATACCAGTGAAGTCCTCACTGCCTGATGTTATAATGGAAGGAGAAACAGTAACACCTCTCCTCCTCCCCCCTCCTCACATCTTCCATACACCAACAGCAGTCCTCAGCAAGGGTAAGTAATAACTTGAACATAGTTTTGTAGGTTTATTTAGATGAATTAGGTATAAAAATTTAGTTTCATGTGGGGTTTTTGGGGTAGTCAGGAACGGATTAATTCATTTCCCATTATTTCTTATGGGGAAATTAGCTTCGGAATACGAGTTTTCGGAATACGAGCTGTCTCCAGGAACGGATTAAACTCTTAAACTGTGGTACCCCTGTACTATATAACATGCTAGAAAAATTGAATGCTGTAACATACTGAAAAAATATGCTTACATTTCCAGAAATGACAATGTTGTACATTTTAGGAATACTGTACCTTCATTTAAAATAGTGCACTCATCTAGTTGTATTTGCGGGGGTTGAGCTCTCGCTCTTTGAGCCCACCTCTTGACTGTCAGTCAAATGGTGTACAGATTTCTGAGCCTACTGCGCTCTATCATATCTACATTTGAAGCTGTGTATGGAGTCTGCCTCCACCACATAACTGCCTAATACATTCCATCTGTTAACTAGTCTGATATTGAAAAAGATCTTTCTAACGTCCCTGTGGCTCATTTGGGATTCTGGATAAATAGTATATGGACACCCTTCCACTTGTGTCCCCTTGTTCGTGTACCACCCGTGTTAACAGTTTATCTTTATCTACCCTGTCAATTCCTCTGATAGTTTTGCAGGTCGTGATCATGTCTCCCCTTACTTTTGTCTTCCAGTATCGTGAGATGCATTTTCATGCAGCCTTTCCTCGTAACTCATGCCTCTTAGTTCTGGGATTTACCTAGTGGCATACCTCTGAACTTTTTCAAGCTTCGTCTTGTGCTTGACAAGGTATAGGTTCCATGCTGGGGCTGTATACTCCAGGATAGGTCTTACATATGTGGTATACAACGTTCTTAATGATTTCTTGCACAGGTTCCTGAAGGCAGTTTTGATGTTAGCCAGCCTTGCATATGCTGCTGATGTTATTCTTTTTATGTGGGCTTCAGTAGACAGGTTTGGTGTGATATTAACTCCTAGATCTTTCTCTCTGTCCGTTTCATGAATGACTTCATTCCCCATTTGGTATCCTGTGTCTGACCTCCTGTTTCCACTCTCTAGTTTCATTGCTTTACATTTACTTGGGTTGAACTTTAGTAGCCATTTTTTGGACCATTCATTCAGTTTGTCTCGGTCATCTTGTAGCCTCATACTATCTTCCTCCGTCTTATAGGAATATTTTATGTTTATTCGTATTTGAATAAACATGCATAATTTTGCATAATTTGCATAATTTTTGCATCATCAGCAAACAATGAGAGGAACGGTGTCTTCAAAGTGTGTCTGTGTTTGAGTGGACGAGTGAATGAATGAGTGAATGAGTTAGTAAAAGTAGATTTTTTTTTTTTTTTTTTTTGAGATATATACAGTACAATAGTTCTTACATTCTTGTACAGCCACTAGTACGCGTAGCTTTTTGGGCAAGTTCTTAATCCTATGGTCCCTGGAATACGACCCCCACGAAGAATCGTTTTTACAACCAAGTACCCATTTTACTGTTCAGTTAAGAAACATGGAGCTGCCTACCTGACAAACACCGAACGAACCTTTTGCTATACAAGAAACAAAAAAATTAACAAATTTGAAGAAAGAAAAATGTCATAAAAGTTTGTTCAGTGTATGTAAGGTAGGCTGCTCCATTATTTAAAACATCGAATATCATATTGATGTTTTTCGGTGGTAGAACGGATTATTTCTATTTACATTCTTTTCAATTGGGAACTTCGTTTTGAATTGTGTCAGTTTCACATGATGACTACGGCATCGGAACGGATTAAAGTCATTATTTGAGATTCCACCGTACTTATGTTTACCTTGGGTTGGTATGCCACCTACACTGGTACTCTCTCCATAGTCATTTGTAACCTGATGAGCTTTAAAGAGCCAATGACTGCAGAACTGGCCTGTTGGGGTTTAAAATACAACTGGAAAAGATCATCAGGCCAAATGGGAGGCCATTTGAAAAGCCACTGGCTTTTACTCTACTCTTACCTTCAAAAACCCATAGGAGAGTTGTTGCACAAGTGTAGCTTTCATGAGATAATCAGTAGGAGCCATGAGGAGGATTTAAACTCCCCCACACTTGGTTTTCTCATTGATACATTAATGTGATTATTGTGAATTTGTAGCTTTCATCCTGTAATTATAGGATGAAAGCTAATTACAGGATGAAAGCTACAAATTCACAATGAAATCACATTAATGTATCAATGAGAAAACCAAGTGTGGGGGGGGGTTTAAATCCTCCTCATGGCTCCTACTGATTATCTCATGAAAGCTACACTTGTGCAACAACTCTCCTATGGGTTTTTGAAGGTAAGAGTAGAGTAAAAGCCAGTGGCTTTTCAAATGTCCTCCCATTTGGCCTGATGATCTTTATGATGACAGCACTCTCAAACCCCCCCCTTCCCTCCCACTCAGTATATGTCTCACATCTACTGACACAACCCACCAACTCGCACCAACATTAAGCCACTAGCCTCCGTGGTGTAGTGGTAAGACACTCGTCTGGCGTTCAGCGAGCGCTTTGTCCTGGGTTTGTATCCTGGCCGGGGAGGATTTACTGGGCGCAAATCCTTAACTGTAGCCTCTGTTTAAGGCCTTCATTTTTTTACATACCTAAGTACAGTAACTGTACTTAGTTACTGTACTGAAAATTACCTGTTAAATTACTGTTACTGGAAATTATCACTGTTAAACAGTGATCACTGATTAAACATCACTTTATTTTCTGCTGCCCAATTGGAAACTTTATTAATATCAGACTTTAGTTTTTTAGTGTCTTCTGCACAAATAATTGTCATGCTGATTTTTGAGTTGTCTGCAAATGACATGAAGCTGTGATTTGTATTTATATCTTTAACTGATATGAGAATGAGAAAGAGCAGTGGTGCATGGACCATGCCCTGCAATACAGTTTTTACTTTGCTTGGACTTGATTTTGTTTGACTGTTACTCTTTGCATTCAGTTTGACAGGAAAATTCAATCACTCTACTTTACCAATTTCTGTGGCTGTATTGTAGAAACTAGGTAGATTCCCGCGTGAAAGTGGATCTGTGTGTGGCCACGAGTGTGTTATATAAAAAAAAAAATTGTGTATAATTTCTTGGAGGAACCCCATGTGGTTCCCTGAAGCTACTATCACTGATAGTGTACCATCTACTGGGTCGCATCAGCCACAGAGTTCTATCTAGCCTACCAGAGGCCAAGAGCCAGAACCCATCCTCCGTCACAGAGGCACAGGGAACAGTAGCATTTATGTATTTACTTATACCACCACTGGACATAAGCACCGAGGAAGGCAATCAGAAAGTCAGCAAGATAAAACAAACCATAGCTGGCTAAAGAAGAGACTGTAGTCTCATGAACCACCAAAAGAACTCCTTAATGTAAATAAACGATTGAGAAGTTTCAAAACAAGTACCAGCTCATTTGCCCCACTTTCCCCACTCATTTGGGGAAGAGGAGAAGTAACTTGCAGTTAGCCGGTGACCCAGTCCTCAGTTCTATGACAATGTGTGTAGTGTGAGTACTCACCTAATTGTGCTTGCGGGGGTTGAGCTTTGGCTCTTTGGTCCCGCCTCTCAACCGTCAATCAACAGGTAATTACCTAAGTGTAATTACCTAGGTGTGTGTGTGTGTGTATCAGGTGACTTCTCTCCGCTGAGAGAGGTGACCTGCTTCAGCAGGGGTTCGTGTCGGCCCTTCTGTGGTTCACTCCTTCACCAAGACAAAGGGTGGGGGGGCCTAGTTTGCTACCTCCTGGTCTCATGATTCATGGCCTTGTTGGGTCGTTTCTCACAGCCTGCAGTGGAGTTGGTTGGGCCCTTTTCCCTTTTAGTTTTGGGAGTCCAAGTCTTTGTAGGCAGGATTCTTCTCCCCGTCTTCTTCCGGTCATCTCGGAGTGAGTGGAGTTGGACATGGTCGAGACAACTTCGTCCTTTCAGTGAGTTACCTGCATTTTTCTGGTAGAAAACAAAATCAGTTCATTCCCTGCCCCTTCTTTCCAATGACCACCTTGTCCCAGGTCCATCTCGTTCTTGAAGCGGATGATTTCCCTGGATGCTTATTAGCACATCCCGAT